TAAGTGTGCCCCCTTCCAGGGTCTGCACGTTTTGGTAATCTGGTTCTTTAACTGATGTGGGTACATTTTGGTAAACTGATGCAGCTGAAATTGGTTTGTTCTTGTCCACACTTTGGTAAACATGACAGTAACCATTGTTATCTTCAGAATTGCTATATATACTTCCACCATTATTTTTCCCTACAGTGGATATAGAAAAAATGATTTCAAGTTTTCCCTCAAAAATGATCAAGATTAATACCCATCTAAAAACGATTCAGTGACTCTTTCTTGGGAAGTTTTACAGCTTCATAAATGTGGTATACTGACGCCATCCAGAATGTTTTTTCTACCATATCCATGGCATTCAACATTAAGATTTTCAATTCTGCTTTGTCTACTTGCTCAAAATACTGCTGGGGGACTTGTGGCTCGCTAACGTGATCACAACGATATCCCTAGGTATCTGAGAGTCCAAACTTGTCCCCAGGGCCTTCTCCCTTAGCTGAGGGTGGAGCAGGAAAAGGCCCACCCCCAACTCCACCCCCAACTAAGGAAAAAAGGCCCTGGGAACGAGGTTGCTGAGAGTGATCACATGTTTTGTGAGTGACTAGTGAAAACCAGTGATTCACAGTAGATCAAAGGACATGTGCTCCCGCAAAAACGAGAATCTCACCCCCAATCACACGTGTGTTATGTAATCACATTTTGATCATAAAATTTGTTTGATGGAGACCACCGAAAAAAACTTGAGAAACAGTTATTCTTTATCAACTTACCGCTGTTGTTAACAAGTCCTTGGTATGTCGATTGGCTGTCTTGTTCACTGGAGGTTGAACTGCGATCTATTGGTCTTTCAATTGGAATTTGATCGTAAATCTCAACCACTGGGTTCCTAGTTATAACTATATCAACAATAAATGTTAATAATCAATCAAAACAATTATTTAAACAGTTCTTCAAATCTTGTAGTCTTATTTCATTTAGAGAGGTTTTACTCAAGATCACATTCTTTCAACATACACGAATTACCCTTGGCCTCATTTTCAAAACGAATACTGGTGCTCACCTTTCATATGATAATAAGTTTTCATTCACATGCAAATTAAACTCATTTTCACAAGAATGGTTGAGTACCAGGCCTCGTTATGAAAAAGAGGCCAAGGGTAATTCGGAAATGGGCTATTGCAAGCTAAGCATTTATGTAACCATAGGCGTTGACAGCGATGCTTAATGTTTGGGCTCATTAACGCACATTGTACGTACCTAGATTCATGGCCCAATACATCTTACACCTACATTTTTTCGTAATAATTAACAAATGGTAAACACCAAAGCGTACACTATTAAGTTATGGTGCCCGCGGGAGGTTGCTAAGCACGAAAGAAGCGTAAGAGTCGCTCGAGGCGATAGCCGAGAGCGACTCTAGCTTCTTGAGTGCATGATGCACGATCCTCGCAGTAGATAGCGCTATTTATGCAATAGCGAAAATCAGACCTGAAAAAAATCAGGCCTGTACGGGACTCGAACCACTGACCTCTGCGATACTAGTGCAGCGCTCTACCAATTGAGCTAACAAGCCAACTGGGAGCAGGCCGTTAAGTTGATTCGTAATAAACCCGTGAAAGTGATAAATGAGATACAATGAATATATGAAGATCATATATTTGATATATATTCTAGATATATATATATATATATCCTTTTAGATATATAGATATATATCTAGATATATATTCAAATATATGATCTTCTTATATTCATTGTATCTCATTTATCACTTTCACGGGTTTATTACGAATCAACTTAACGGCCTGCTCCCAGTTGGCTTGTTAGCTCAATTGGTAGAGCGCTGCACTAGTATCGCAGAGGTCAGTGGTTCGAGTCCCGTACAGGCCTGATTTTTTTCAGGTCTGATTTTCGCTATTGCATAAATAGCGCTATCTACTGCGAGGATCGTGCATCATACGTATCTAATACCGCAGTTCAAAATATATGAACTTCATATATTCATTGTATCTCATTTATCACTTTCACGGGTTTATTACGAATCAACTTAACGGCCTGCTCCCAGTTGGCTTGTTAGCTCAATTGGTAGAGCGCTGCACTAGTATCGCAGAGGTCAGTGGTTCGAGTCCCGTACAGGCCTGATTTTTTTCAGGTCTGATTTTCGCTATTGCATAAATAGCGCTATCTACTGCGAGGATCGTGCATCATACGTATCAATAGTGTACGCTGTGTTGTTCACCATTTGCTTTATAACATAACATTGATACGTTGTAGCTAAAGAGTTCCCTTTTCTTTAACAAATCTTACGTGACCAGAAAAAACAAGCAAGCGCGGAAAAATAGTCTTTGCATTTGTTCACGTCAGCAGCGTACACCCATTGGGCAAATGGGGACGCTAAATTGACCAATCAGAGCGCGCGCTTTACTTTGGTTATGTTATAATAAGTATCTTGTAGTTTGGGGTTCATTCGTAGAACATTTTTGCAATCAGCCGCTGATGGAAAATGAATTTTACCTGCTGGCTTTGTTTCTTGCTGACTGTTTTTCCTGTGTTGGAAATTCGTATACACATTATACTCAGAACACATAGTTTACTTGTCAAAGTTCATGTTTCTGTATTATTATGTTGTGGAACTGTACTAACAGCTTGAGTGAAAAGAAAATTCAAGGAAAAATACTTAACCCTTGAACTCCCAAGATCTGATTGGCTCACCTCTAGTTGCTACACACTTCATTGCAAATTAGTCATGATAATTTGGTGTCAGTTTTAAATATCAACTTTGTCCTGATGAGTTTCAGTATTCTCGTCACTGGCTTGCTGGAAAATGTGTGGATATTATAGCGAGAAGTTACATGTTAATCATTTCTGGGAGTAAAAGGGCTACTTTGCTTAAAACTTAAATGCATAATAAATCTTACTCAACATTGGATCGGATCAAAAACGGTTGTGATGAGTCTAAAGACATGCATTTTTAGACATACTGGTAGCTGTTAAAAGTCTGTGTACCATGGAGTGATACTCGGAGTGAAGAAACAATGTGAATATACATTCAGTCAGTCAGTTTGTAATTTGACCATTTGAATCAGATTACTACGTGTAGTCATCTGATATAATGACCACTCAAAATTCTCATATTAGCCGAGTGTTTATGCGCACTTTTTGACCGTTCCTTGCTATATTCTCTTTGATGATTACTTCCCATAAGGTGGCTGGAAACAGTTTTCTGAGAAACTTGCATGTACCAACTATATTCAAAGCGCTCAAAAACCCACTTTCCCTCTTTGCAGTCAAACTAATTTCAGACATGTGTTTACCAATGGAATGAAGTTTCAAATAATGGGTGTGGCATGGTAATCACTGTAATCGTGTTATGGGAAAAAAGAGTTATTGGGGATGGTCTTGGAAAATCCTCATTACATCTCCACACAACTTCAGGATCGGCCAAATTAAATCTAGCCGTTTCAAAATTATGACACAGTGACCGTAAAGTTTACTTTTGATTTTTCGGCTTTTACGTGAAATGTACATTTTTGATAAGCTGCACATGGCAAAATAAAATTATATTATTACAAAATATCAGACTTACAATTTCTTACGGTTGCAAAATACAACAAGGACAATGAGAAAAATTCCAAACACGACTGCACATGCCACTGCAACGGCAATCATGACACCAGAAAATCCACTGTAATCTCCTTTTGTTTTCGCGTCTTTTTTGCCCGTGCTGGTGGAAGACTCTTTCACAGTGACTAGAGTTGTCTGCAAGGTATTATAATTAAAAACAAAGGTTAACTGTTTCTGGTTCATTGATGCTCTAAACATATGCATTGTAATCTGCTACCCTGGTAAATAAAAGTTATTTTATTCCAAGTATAAGCCTCTTGGACCGTGAGCCCTAAATTTCCAAATACGAAAAAGTATCCATAAAAAGACGCTTTGGTTCTACAAATTGCCTTCTAACCATCCAAGATTCAAACTTTAAGAAGTTGACAAACCCAGGGTGTTGTGTTTTTTTTTTTTGTGTTGCGGACATTACTATTCAGTTGATAGATTAAATCACACTGTCATTAACAGCACGAATCACATGAAGAACATTCCCATTTCAATGAATATCTTTGCCACTATTTCAACTTCAAGCCCCATCAATAACATATTCATTTTTAATAAAACCTTTAAATACAAGCGCAGCTGCTTTTGAAACGCAAAGTTTAACATTACTTGAAAAAGACCCTCCAAATATGAACCTCTAAACGAGGACATTTACAATTTAAAACAATCAAGCAAGGGCCAGACATGTTTTTATAATTTCGAGAAAAGAACTCAAGATCAAAGTGATAATGAATTCTTTAAGATTATAACAAAGTTACGTGTGTGTTTACCTTACTCATTCAGATTATTCTTTAATCGTAAAAACAAAGAAAACTACAAATCAACCCAAGTTACCGTTTCAACTCACCACAAATACAGTGAAACCTTTGGAAAACAAAAAGAACAAATTTAAGCCATTATCATCACTGCCTACTGATAGTAAAACTGAGACTATTTGGCATACACCTTGGTCATTGGAGAAATATATGGTGTCGTCTTTGCTACAGAACTTGGCTTCACTAGTGAGTCCGGTTCAGATACAAAAGTGTCAGTCACATCATCAGCAACATCTGAAATACCAGCGCACATTTATCAATGAAGGCTCAAAAATACCAAAATGTTTATATCATTTTTTTAACTTCACAGACCTACTGCTTACACTGAAGAGGTTATCTTCATTTCTACAAGTTGACGTTGCTACTTGTATTTCCCTTTTTTTGAATGAGATGCTGTACAGGTTAAATTTATTCGAGATCAAGACAAGTATTTTACTGTTTTGTCTCATGGAAGCAGTCCTTGCTTTAGAAAGACGTAAGTAACCGCTGAAAACTCTGCCTAAAGAACATTGTTTGTGCTCTTGCAAGCCTACGTTAACAGGCTGAAAAATACTAACTTATAACTTAAAACAAACTTCACAATGGTATAACTCACAAGTGATTGGCCCTGCGGACTTGAAAATCAGACAAGCAGTTTTGGCTGGTCGAGATGCTAATACTGAATAGTTACAAGTGATCACTACTCGTACAATTCTTCCCAACAGGTTCTTGTCGGAACCATTTGCCCACTAGAAAAATAAAGCAACATGAACACAATATATATATATCTTATTAACCAAGCGCGAGGGCCGTACTGGGAGAATATCGGCCCGAGGTCTTGACAGTACGGACCGAGCGAAGCGAGGTCTGTACGAAAAAAGACCGAGGGCCGATATTCTTCCAGTACGGTCCCGAGCAAGCTTGGTTAATAAGAGATTTATTATACGACTGAAGTTCAAAGGGACCCAAGTGCGTTATCATTCGGGAACATTCGGGATAGTGCCCGGTCCAATACTGAGAGAATATTGACCGGCAATAGAGCACTTTGATTGGTTGATTTTAGTTATTGGCCCTCTGACTGCCCGAGTCGTGTAAAAAATAATTAATTCAACACATGCACACTGTGGGCATAAATATTGACAGATGTAGTCAAAGGTTATGCCCAGATTTGATGATTCTCCAGTTGCTTCAGGAAAACATTGTTCCAATGTTAAATTTATTCATTAAATTCAACCATGCCACCTTAGAAAAAATAATCCAACCCTGCAATTAAGCGAGGACCTCTTGGAGCATCAAAAAGATCATCACAGACCTCTTGTCATTTTTTGGAGACTTCTCAATGGCTTTCCACAGTTTTTTCACAATGAACACATAAAATACGAAGAGATAACTTTGTGTGAGCTCCATTCTTAGAAATGGAATCAAACCCAGTGTCACCATAGCTTGTGGCTGTCAATCTCCCTCGTGGTCTGTGGTCCTTATAACCGCCAGAAGCGGTGAGGGGCTAAGCTGAAGCCCCTCCATGACCAAGAGCCCCATTAGGCTTGAGGTAAAGTTTAACCCTATATTCATTAATCTATCGAGATCTAATAGCATGCCAGGACCATCATGTGTCTTGTGAAATAAGAGGCACCCCACTTAGCGGTCAGGTTGCATTTTGGGCTCAAGGTTGATTAACACATTTCTGTACAAACCCTGGATACGAAACCTTGAAAACTAATTCGCCTTGTGCTCTTTCCACTTTGAAGATATCCGGATGTACCATGGCCCACTTGCTTTCCAATAGATAATTGTAGTACGTTACACTTCCAGGTACAACTTGACATCTTTGATACCTATTGGTTGATTTAATATTCTCTTGTCCTTCATTTGCAAGGTTAAGGGATTTCAGAAAAAAGGGCCACTCAAAGAAACTTGAGCAAACTGCAAAAAAATGCAGTTACAAACAGTTTGAACAATAGTTTTGAGGGAGAATGGCTCTAAATTCATAATCACCACAAAAGCATGCGCGAGGTTCTGAGGGAAAGTGGTGAATTCAGCTGTCTGCTTCTGTCTGCAATATATTTCATTTTACTTGTATTTTTACTGTCAACGCATCGTCCTCTAGAAAAACCCCAAGGTCAAAGTGGTTGTAACGAATAAGTAGATTGATTATTTCAATTCTTATCTAAAACAAAAACTTCTGTATTGACGAGGATGCATGAGCCATCTTAATTTGGAGAAGTTTCAAAATAAACAAATCTAATTGAAAGAATCAGAAACTTCTTCTTTAAGTAAAAGAGCCATGTTAATTGTCAGAATTGTGCATGAAGCCAAACAGTCGGTATGTGAATAATTCTAACCTATTAACCACTGATTTTCCATGACTTCTACTAATGCGTTTAAAGCAAACATTTTACCACAATTTGCAGTAATGTCGCAATCTGACTGGCCAATTTATCGTTGTCGATAAGACTATAAACAACGCTGCTTGCGCCAAGGTGTCACGTCATGGACACGCACTGAAAGAATCGTTTTATCTGACATCGATATTGGGGTAAAAAAACAAATGGACAGTGGTTTGGCGTGGTACGGTGCTCTTATGGACAACAATATTTATCAACACAATGGCCAAAACTTGTTGCGGACTCAGGGGCTGCACCCTTTGTGTCCACAACATTTTGACCAATGTGATGACGAATATTGTTGTCGACGAGAGTACAGACCACGTTAAACCATTGTCCATTAATTTTGTTAAATCTATCCAGTTCACTCACCAGCATTGTCAGTACATCCATATACTTCCACTCTTAGACATCTATACCCACGTGTGTTATACTCTTTGGGATATATTCTAAAGAATCTTGTTTCAAAAGTTGCTTTGAAGTAGTTGTATTTTATGGTGTCTGTGTCACTATTTCCAGTAAACTTCTAAAAGTGAATATTAACAGCTGAGAATTAGTAAAAATGAAAACGAACATATTTTGATATACCCTCTACAGAAATGTCCTCTTGATCAAGGAAGAGCAAAAAACATTGAAAAAAAAAGGCTAAGTAAATATATGTGGCTGAAAGTCAAATTCTTTCAGATAAAAATCATTGAATTTCAACTCGATTTATATACGAATTCATGAAATATTTTGTACGGCCCCTTAACACAATCAAATTATTTTTGACATCTGTTTAGAGGTAAAGGAAATGATCATCTGGTTGAGTTATGCTTCTGAAAGAATGAATATTTACCTGCGTGGATCATAGTTAAATATTCAAGTACCTTTTTATTGTTATTTTTATCTTTGTAATCAAACCAGGTTTCACCATCATAACTGTACTTTATCTCAAATGTTTTGACATAGTTATGGAAGTTTCCTTTGAATCCTTGAGTTGCAATGGCTGAGACATGCCTGACCTCTACTAAGTCAATCTCAAAATAATGCCCCATTGTTACAGTGCACCAGGCCTTCTCATTATTCAGTCTCCCTCTCGAAGAATCATAGCCTGGGAAACTATGTGAGGAATTTAGTTGCGAATCATTGATTTTCCCACTTTCCAAACCAAGCGCTTCTGAGCAATCTACGATGAAAGTAACCAAAGAAGACAAATCTAAAATTTATAGTATGATAGTAATCAAAATTGGTGTAAATAATCAAAATTGCAATAATCAAAATTGTTGTAAATCAAACAATTGTTGTTAATTGTTGTTGGACTCCGCAACTTGAGAAATGATCAATTAATCGCGCAATCGGGAGTAGCAAATAATAATTGATAGAGATCATTTTTTAAGGTGGTGTCCTACAGGACCTTACCCGTTTACCTTTAACAATCATTCACGTTCGCTACACAGACAGTCTGCCAGCTGCTATCTTGTCTTCGCAGCCTGTAAGACTACTACTTTTCAAGCTTCGTATTTTGTTTGTATCATAAAATTGAGGAATAAAAAAAGTATCCGCTGGCCTCGGGGCTATCGGACGCATCAGAAGCTTGGTTCCTCGTGAGACTCTTATTATGATTTATAAAGCTCTCGTCCAACGTTACTTTGATTATTGCAGCTCCGTCTAGGGCTGCATAGGTATATGTCAATCTGTGAGACTCCAAAAACTACAAAATAGAGCTGCACGCTTAATTACCTTTTCTGACTTAAATATTAGATCCTACACTTTACTCAGTGAACTCGGTTGGGATTCCTTGGAGCGGAGGCGTTCTAAGCAACTAGCAGTCATTTTGTTTAAGACTCTCCATAACCCTGCTCCGACTCGTTTAAACAATCTTTTAAAATCTATCTCCAGTGTTCACTCGCATAATCTAAGAAAGTCAAAACACAGCCTTTTCGTTTCTAGACCGAGTATTGAAGCAGGTAAGCGAAGTTTCCAATATCGTGGTTCCGTTCTATGGAACAGCCTGCCCTTGAGCGCTAAGCTCAGTACAGCCAATTCTTCGTTCCTTTAAGTCATGTATTTGATTAATATTGGTACAATGAAATATATGAGGTTCATATTTATTTTCGCTATTGCTTTAATAGCGCTATCTACTGCGAGGATCGTGCATCATACGTATTGATTAATATTGATAAGTAGCTATAAGTAATGAAATCATCTTTATAGTATAGTATATGAAACCGTTTTTACAGTCGTTTTAAAACCTTGTACAGATAATTAATTTAGTTAGATATATTATTAGTTAATTAATTAATTTGTATTTAGAACACGGCTCGATGGAAGAGCGTGTAATATGAATTGATACCGTGTATAAATAAAATTTTACTACTACTTCTACTAATAATAATAATTTATGCGAAGCGGCCTTGCCCAGTAATGTTATCTCTCCGGGTTCTTTTAAATCATACGTATAAGTCCGTTTATTAAAAACTGGATCATTGGATAATGCAATTCAAGACTTTTTATTGGCTCAGCCATTATGGTATATGAGCCAATATACCATTATCTAATTTCTGTACATTGTTAAATCCGGTTTCTTCTCACAAAATAAAGTCGAGAAGATTTGTCTAATAGTTTGGGGGCGTTTTTTTAATAACACAATTATTCCACTCGCGTTTGTTGGATATGAGATGATTATAGCCAACTCGGCGCTACGCGCCTCGTTGGCTATCTATCATCTCATATCCAACGCGCGCTGGTGGAATAATTGTTAATTAGGTTTTGATGCAGACTCCTGGTATGCTCGGGGTCCACTTCACGGGATTCGGTCCAGGTCACCATCGTCTATCTGATTTCTTATTTTGTTTATATCTGTATATCTATTTTTTTTTTTTTTAAAAAAAAAAAAAACCTCAATTGTCTATGGTATGCATCTTCCATGGGTCTTAGTATCCCGTGCGTACGTTTCCTTTTTGGATTTTTATTCCCTCTGATTATTCCATTTATTCCTTCTTCTCCAGTAACTATTATTTCTTAGGCCAATATAAATTTAGAGATTTACGCAGTCATGAAGGTGACACTAAGAACAATATTGATTAAAAATGATCTCACTTTTGCCCTTGTCTCAATGTCTTTGCTTTGTATTATAAGGTCAGACATTCGCTTCAGTTTAGCATGAAAAAGTACTATCAAGTTCGAACGACAACTGAAAGTAAATGATTTGCTGTGAGAGTTTCCACTCTGAGAATTCGGAAGTATTTTTTCAGTAATTGAACACGCGCATAGCTTGTAAGATTTCTCAATGCACAGTGAGGTTGTTAACACGACTTCACTTTCAGAACTTACGCTTAATTGCTGCTGCCAAGATTGTTCAAAACTCCAGCCAGATTGCGGCACCTTGGTTGGTGTAACATCAGATCGATCAGCTAAGCCGAAGTTTTCGAAGATGAGCAAGGACTTCGAGAAGGCTGCATGTTTTGTGTAAATTTATTTTTTCACCTTTTTGGAAGGACTTCCACAGTTTATGACCTCGCTGATAAGAGCTGTTAACTTTTCTACACAGATAAAAATTAACACTTGAGCTTCATTCCCCAAGTGCGGCTTCCAGGTGGTTTTCTGTCCATTCTATAATATCAGACTACAATAATTTGCGTTTTTAAGGTGGCTCAAAAATGTTCTTTCATTTTTTCACTAGTCAAGGAAGAATTCTTTAGTGCGTTAGCATGCGCATTTTAGACTATCAGTATATATCTAACTAGACGCACAGCTGCGTGAACTCGGGCTTTCTAAGAAAAGATTGATAAATATCGACTTGCTATATGCTTCAATTTAATTATCCTTGGATATAACCTCACAGAACAATTCAACAAATACTTCTTCTCATGTTATGTAACTTTACTTAATCTTACCCTCTACCGGGTTGCTAGAGACCTATGAAGGTAAATGCGTTGCAAACTGAAATAGCAAATATAGGATCCCACCCTGGAAATGCACATTTACATTTCGATGACCTCTCTTCATTCATTCACTATCAAATAACTTTACTTACTTCCAAACAGAGAGTTCTTTACACTTGCTGTGTCACCACAACTTCCTAATTCCGGAAGGAAGGTTGGAGTTTCGCTTATACATATGCAGCCGCATGCTGTGCTACTGTCCACCCAAGCCGAGGCGTTAGCACAAACATCTGAAGGGCATTCAAAGCCAGTTTTGTAAATAATCCTGAACGAATCGGTATCATATCTACCTCTTCTCGAAATATTGTACTCCTCCACGCCGTCCCTACTTAAAGAAGCTTGTAACAGAGGAAGCCGTAGAGTCGCTACGGAAAACATTAAAACAACAATTCCTGTTATAGAGTTGATAGCCGGTGTCGTCGATGGCATATTTTTTACGCAAATTGTGAGCCACAGCTTCCTTCTCGATTATATTGTAGTAGATATAGCTAAGCGTGTTTCCGACCGCGATAAGAGCGCACACCGATGTTCAAACTGAAATATCTAGAATTATAAATGGTGCCAACTTCCTGTCCAAACACCTATGACGTCAAAAAGTTGATACTACTTAATAGGATCAGAAAAATCATGCCTAAAAATATATGAGCATCATGCTTTTGGATGTCGCGCAAGACAACATAGCAACGGGGGAGGGAGCGTTGCGTGACGAGCCCAAACAACGGCTGCGAAGGAGACTACAGGTAACACGGCATTATGGCGAAAATCACTCATATTTATTTTTCATTATGTTTAATACAATAGTTTGAAATAACAACCTCCCCTCCCTCTCCATTCACTATCCGACTAATAGGTAAATCTTGATAAGAGTAAAAGACTTACCAAAGTTCAAAACACAACATTGTACTCGATCAAATTCCTAAACTACAAGCAAGAAAAGCAGGCTCACTTTTGACATGACTCGGGCTACATCGCATGTTGAACTGTAACACCAAAGAATTTTGACGACGTTTGATTATTATGACGACGTTATGGTAGATATTCTGATTACAGCATTGTGCCCAAAGTTATGCCACCATTCCTGTAATTTACCGACCCTACTCCGAAGAAAGATTTTTTTTGTAGCCCGTTAGTTCATAGAGATTGCTCATGAAATCTTATGGATATAGTGATTCCGAGAATCTTCAGGTCAGCTCGTAGGAAAAATGGGAATAAGTATGGGTTAGAAACAGAAATACTCGGGCTCACTGTAAAAAGGACCAACACAGTGCAATATAAAGAATCTGGAGTTGACTGCGCAACCAGGAAGTGAATGGGTTAATTTACTGTTTGCTTATACTGTAAACATACGTCAGTGTTGTCGTTTCTTTAGGGATTTAAACACGCAGGGGCATGTGATGAGCAAATGGCTGAAACCTCTCAGAGTCGTGTTTACATAGGCTGCTGTTGGGACTTTCATGGAATAATTCCCGGGCTATATTACCTATCGACAAGAACAGGACGGATATGGTTTTTAACCCTGTTAAATTCGTAGATACGTTGATCTCTGCGTGATTCTGCTTCCGTTTTTGTTTTGTTATTTTGTTTTCGCACGACTGCGTTTTTCGTAGTTTCGACTTCCCTTCTGTTCGGTTCCGCGGGGAAATTTATCCAAGCGAAGAGGCACTTGATGTTTATTTTAAGAGAATTAAGGCGAATGATATCGGACAGAGTACAGCAGATACTACAGCGGCCGTTCTGGAAGCAGTTAACAAACGTACCGTGGCCACAGTGATTTATGTGACACGCATGAATACTTACGGCGCGCTCTGAAATTTGCCCATACGATTTACCGGCTGTCTGGCACTGACCCGCTGTAGACCTCTTGCAGGCTCATACTTTCCACAAGCAAGTAATCCCTCACGGTGCTGAAGCGCTGATAACAGGCGCCGCTCTCAGGTTAGGGTAAAATAAAACTCATGAGCAAAATGGAAAACTCTGATGAAAAAAAAACAATTACATACTCATTTATTTTAAAAAATTAAATAATCGATCAAGGAATAGATTTGACCTCTCTACGAGAACGTCTTTATAATAATTCCCTAGAAGTTACATAAATTGTAAAGTTTCCTCTTACTGAGATAACAAAAGTCCGCTGACCGATACGAACGACTGCTCATTTCCATATAATGTCATGCCTCTTCCTATATCCCTATCAAGCGCGTGCACTATGATTGGACGATCTCGTAGGCCGTATTTGATTGGACGGCCTGCTAAATTCAAAATGTTTTTTTGAAGTGAAATCTGTCCGCTTTCTTTGAACCTAGAGATATAATAAAAAAAAATCTTACCAACCTCGTTTTCTCGGTCGGTACTGAAAGTTGTGGAACGATCGACGTTTCTGTTCGAATTTATAACCCACGCACGTTAAAAATAAAATAAAATAAAATAAAATGCCGTCCGTACCTTCCAGTACAGATCTTAAACTCGGTTAGTACGAGGTACTTACTACATACGACATGGCGACAAGTGAATAGCATAGCGTGGCATGCAAGCTGCCGGGAGTAAATGTGTAGTAACAAAAGTATAAAATAGTTGGTCTAAATAATTCTATGCCCTACCTAATAAGAGGTTCTTAATAGGGTTAGCCGTTAGCCGTCAAACAGCAAAGAAATTTATATTAGTCGTTAAGCGTAAAAACTGACAAATTTTAACCGTGGCTCGCAAAAGAAAATAATAATAATCATAGAAATTTTTCCGATGTTTAAAGCCAATTTGGGTAAACCGTTAGCCGCAAAATGGTCAAAACTTTCACTGTTAGCCGAAAAACCTGTCACCCTCTAATAAAATGTAAATCTAACGAAGACTTGGTCAAAATATTGTTTTTTTCTACACTTGGCATACGTTCTAAGTATTTTCAAAGTAACCTCATCGAATTTCAAACAGTTCTATGTAACTGTAACTAAAATTTTACAATGCCTGCCTGATTCGGATAACCGTTGCAGTTTCTTTGTTCTCATTTGAAAAAAAAAAGCAAAAATAAAGGAAACTACGGTAGATTTCTCCTAATTGGAAACTTCTGGAGAAATTGAGTGCGAATTTCCTGATAACTAAAAAAATGCTAAAAAAACACTAGAAAAAAGTACTTTAAAGGATATGGCTTCACTACTGCGAGTTAAAGGGCAGTTCAGGCTCATTCAGGTTTGAGTAAGCGAGTACTAAAACTAGCACTAAATTGATGTATTGGCAGCAATTTCTTTGACTACGCTCTAAAGCTTAGAACTTAAGTTACTTTTAAAGGCTGGTACATGTCATCGCCATCACCGCCTCTCAAAGCCTCATACACTGTTCCGTTTCCGGACCTGCTTCTGTCATAAGATACATCAAACCCCAGAGTTTGCTCATAGGATGGGTTGTTACGGCCACCTGGGGAAAGGGGCTCTCTTGGAGCAGCATACTCTTCCTCACCACTATTTGGTCCGGCACCTGAATCTGGCCTCTCAAGCACATTATACAGGTTTTCATTATTTGCACCATCTTTAAAAGATCCACCATCGGCACCAGGGCCATTATCTAGTACATTATAAAGAGGTTCTTGTTGGTGCTGTTTGGGGCCGGGCCTCTCAAGCACATCATAACTGTATTCATCATTTACACCATCTTCAAAGGCTCCACCATTAGTATCAGGGCCGTTATCTAGGACATTATAAAGAGGTTCCTGTTGGTCCTGCTTAGGATTGGGCCCCTCAAGCACATTATACACTGGGTTTTCCACTTGCGGTACCTGGCAGCTCCTAAAAGTGGGAGGCCTCTCAAGTACACTATAAAGGGAGCCCTGATCATTTTCTTGTGAAATATCAGGTTTTTCAAGGACGTTATAGACAGCTTCAGTTACTGCACTTGATTGTTCCGTTGCAGCACGTGTTAGTTGCCCTGTGGGATGTTGTCCTCTGTTTAAGGTGTGGTGCCCTGGTGTCTGCAAAACGTTTTCGTCCAGGCTTTGGTGAGCACGGTTTTCATATCTGTTTACTTCAGGTGCGCTGTAGATCGCTCCTCCATACCTTGGTTCTGGTTAGGATGATTGTGAATCAAGAGCACATTTAGTTGAAAACAACGAAATCGTTCATATCAATTCTAACCACATTGGGCATTCTCATAGACTTTGAATGACCACAGGACGAGCCATCCTCTCTAGCTACTTCACATTTCCTTGTTAATTTATTAAGAAAATTTATATCAACATAACAATCTCTACCTGATAAGTTTGAATATTCTTATTATCTGTTTGCTGGAGAGCGTATGGATGTCATACGGAGAAGTTACATGTTAATCACTTCCAGGAGTTCAAGGGTTCAACCATACAGGCAGGTGTAGTCAAGACACACCACTCTTACTCACCACTGTCTTTGACAACATCCTGGTAGGTTGGTTGACTTTCTTGATCACTAAAAGATGTGAAATGTTTTCCCGCTGTTGTTCTCACTGAAATTAGATAAAATATTCAATGTTGAACTGAATTTACATCCGAAACCTAGAAAAATTTGAAAATTAGTTTCATTGAATTATCGGAGAAAATACATGGTTTGGAATAATCCAATATTGTTATTTTCTTCTACCACGCAAAACTCTCATCTTTTTCATCTCATAGGCAATGACGCAAAAAAAAAATGTTCGTTTATTTCATGACATTTATTTCAAGACAAATTGCTGCACTATACAATGTAAATAACTGCTGATAAAATGATAGTTTACCTGATGACGGTGTTCCTTGCTGACTGTTTTTCCTAGGTGAGAATTCCAACATACAAAATATTTAGAATGGAAAATTGTTCAGTTGAAACGGACTCATCATATTTCTGTTTTAGTAAAGTTTTTAAAAGAATTGTTTGTTAAGATAATTTAGGGTAAAATCTTTGCTACGAAACTGTGTACAAACAATCCTCTCAATCAATGGGTCAAAAAAATTTGTTAGTGATAAGTACAGAGATTAAAAAATGTATTGGCAAAATTGTCAAAAAGACTACTACAAAAAGCGATCAACTATTTGACAGAGGATACCTTTAAAGGATAATAAACAATAATTATCACAAATTTATAGGGCATTGCGGCACATTCTGCGAGCTAAAATAAAGATTTTGGTGAGGTTCAAATATATCTTAATCTGCTGGCACGCTCCCATAATTGTTCGGACTGTTATGTTGTCATTATTTTAAGTTTTTATTTTCTCAATTCCCTTCAGGTGATAATATTAGTAAAACAGTTTAAGTTCTTGGGCACATATATGTTTTGGGTCCTTCTCAAAGTCATCTTAGTCCTTGATTCTGAGTGGCGCCGAAAACAATTTTAAGCCTGTGAACATAAACTCTATTACTTATTAGAAATATCTCGATGGCTTAAAATCTTGAGAATTTGGTTACATGTGCATGTATTCATGTAGATGGTCAGACTTACGATCTTCTCCTCTTGCAAAACACAACAAGAACAATGAGAGCAATTGCAAACACAACTGCACATGCCACAGCAACACCAATCAAAACTCCAGATCCACTGTTGTTCTCATTCGTTCTTGCGTCTTTGTTCCCTGAGTTTCCAAAAGGTTCGGTCACTAAAGATGTCTGCAAGGAACACCATCTGTTAGTATAAACTAAAAACAGTGGATAGAGTTGAAGGCGCGCTCTGATTGGTTAGACAAACTCTGAATATCCTTTGCTGTTCACTTCTGAACAAAGTGCGCAAGGTCTTTGCCAGAAAGTATTGTTATCGTTGCCGCAATAAATGAGTTAAAATCATCTTTTTGTGCTATATTGCCACTGTATAAGTATATACTATGACAGTTATTCACCTCGGGGCATGAGGTGGCTAGAGGTGGATATGTAGATATCCACCGCTAACCACCTACGCTTTGGTGGATAGTTGTTAGTTGTTTTTGGTTTACTAAATTGATCACTTGTATAACCCCGCTTGGCTTATAACTATTTATGAAATAGCTGACATATTACGAGAACCATGATCGGTAAAAAAAAAATGCTCTTCAGTGTTTATCACAGCGGTAAACAAATAGCAAATTGAGACAATTCAAGTTTATTGCTGCCTCAGCGGAGCGAGCCTGAAGCGAGGGAAGCAAGACAGCGATATTAATTCAGTCAATATGAATATTGGAAGCAAAATTCGAGATTTTTTCTGACCACAATGCAGTTTGCCGCGGCAAAGAACAATGATTTTCTTCGCTTTAGCTATCCCAGAATGCACCTCTTCAATTTTATCAAAAAGCTTCGCAAACTTATGGACTGCGTGCTCTTCCTGTTGAAGACCTGTTTGCTGGTGCTGGGGCGGACCCAGGGGTGGTTCGGGTGGTTTGGTCGAACCCCCTAAATTTTCCCTCAGAACGCTGGAAATCATGTTTCCGAAGACCTAATTTTGAAAATCTTGAACCCCTCAGAAGGGGAACAATTCTCCGAACCCACCTTGACTAAATCCTGGATCCGCCCCAGTGGTGAGTTATTGTGTTTCTCCCTCTCAACTATTTCAACTACAACCTCATTGCCATTACAATTACAACATTATTACGATGTTTTTACACCCGATCCATCATATTTGACGATTGCTTTGCCTTTCTTATCTCTTAGCATACAATTTTGTGTCAAACAATATTACCGTAAACAAGGCGAGCTTTCCTCTTAATCTACCTTCTCGACTGTGAGCTTCACGAGATTTATGCTAAAATCACACTTCAAACATTGTTTTGGAACAATTTTTTCCTTTATTATTCTTCGGTATTAACCTTGAAGACGCCATTAAATTTCCCAGTAAGAAATTAGCTTTCTGATGACCGAGTGCCATGTGCTTGAAAGTGTGAAAACCTTCTTTGCCAGTAGTTATCTTTGATTTACCATGCCTTACTTCTTGATTTGCTCTTCTTCCTAGCAGACCTATTTTTACATCGCTTAAAAAAGTTCAAGCTTTCTCGTTCTGAGTTAAAGGAATGTTTTTGAGAAGATATGTCGAGCTATGTGCTTTTTAAGTGTTCTTTGGGAGGTAAAATGTAATTCGCCAAGTGCTTCGTGGTGTGAAAACCTTTGACTTAAGCGATTATGAAATCATGGTGATGATCCTCACAGTGCCACAATGCCACCATTGTTTACAATGACAAGCTCACCGTAGTTACAGTTAAAGCATAATTAGTTGAAACAAACAATTAAAAGCCTTTAGAGTGATTTTCATAAATCCATGAAATAAATAGTGTCTTTTTCACTCAAATTCTTTTCTTTTTTTGGAATACTTAATGTTATTCAGTACTAATTCATACCATTTGTTTTTGGGTTTATGAAAATCATTCTAATGCTTATTTAAAAAATTTAACAGTTATATTTCACAGGAAGAGTTACTCTGATGCAGATAAGTTTATTTTACATGTTCCAGTTCATTCCCATCTATGTTTATCGTATTCTTTGACAATGACATTTGACGATGCAATTTTGATTTCCAATTATTAAACAATTAAGTAACTTGACTGCAATCATATTTCCAGAAGTTTTAGAATTATATTTAAATGAAATCGTACATTTCAAAGCAACTAAGTAATTTTGCAGTAGCACAGTTACACATAAGTTTAAATTAATGTTCCAGTTCATTCTTATCTACAGTTTATCATATTCGTTGACAATGACATTTGAACATGCAATTATGATTTTCAATTATTAAACAATTAAGTAACTTGACTGCAATCATATTTCCAGAAGTTTTAGAATTATATTTAAATGAAATCGTACATTTCAAAGCAACTAAGTAATTTTGCAGTAGCACAGTTACACATAAGTTTATATTAATGTTCCAGTTCATTCTTATCTACAGTTTATCATATTCGTTGACAATGACATTTGAACATGCAATTATGATTTTCAATTATTAAACAATTAAGTAACTTGACTGCAATCATATTTCCAGAAGTTTTAGAATTATATTTAAATGAAATCGTACATTTCAAAGCAACTAAGTAATTTTGCAGTAGCACAGTTACACATAAGTTTATATTAATGTTCCAGTTCATTCTTATCTACAGTTTATCATATTCGTTGACAATGACATTTGAACATGCAATTATGATTTTCAATTATTAAACAATTAATTAACTTTACTGTAATCAAATATTTAGAAGTTTTGGTCTTACAGTTAAAGGAAATCGTACATTCATAGCAATTATGTGAGCTTTAAATATGACGGCACATGTCAATTATGCTTTATACTTAATACAAGTTGTTTTATTATAAAATAAAATTTTGTTACAAATGAATTTCACTTTCTACTTACTTTAAATGGTATTGTTTGTTTCAATAATATTTAGCAGTTTCGATTTCACGACCATACAGTTTGTACATTCTTTCTTTCTCGTTTTCTTTTTTGCTTTCTCCCTTTCTTTTTTGTTTTCTTTAAACCGTTCTTTCTTTTCAGCTTTTTTGCATTCTTTCTTTTTTCTTCAGAATCCCACAAAAATAAGGCAGCACTCACCAAATGTGAATTAGGCTAGTTTTTAATAAAAGTAATATTTCTATCACGGTTCAATGAGTAAATCACAAGTCGGAGGTGAGCGATTTACAAACTTTTCAAGTTAACGTCAACAACAGCCTTTTAACGATGTAAACTATTTGGCACACACCTTAGAAGGTTCTGTTGGTTCTGTAGAAACAGTTACCGAGATCTTTGGAGAAATGTATGGTGTTGTCTTTGGCACAGTGCCCAGCATCACTAAAATGTCAAAGATACATCATGTCAGCAATGGATCGAAAGTTCTTAATTTTTGTTTTTGTTTTACCATTATTTGTTACAGTAATGTAACACAGCAGTGCTTATCCCTTTCAATAAGATGCCAGTCCATTTCATGCTACCCAGGCCCCACCAGTAATTAACAAGATATCCAGCTAAAAAGTGAACTTCCACAGCTGATCTGCTTTCAGACCTGGTAATCGAAAATTTCTGGGTTTGAGCCCAGCAGGCCAGCATCATCAGGGTGGCACTCTAAGGGGAAGACACTTAACTCCCACCATGCCTTTCTCTCCTCGCAAGAGTACACAAATGAATACTGCTAAGGTAGCACGATAATAAAGGGGTAAGTTTCTAGGAAACTGTGATGCTGCGTCAGTGGGGGAATATAACAAGGTAACTGATTTTCGTTTAATCATTGGAGTTGATAATAGAGAAATTTAGCACTGCGTTTACACAAAACGGAAAACGTCAGCTTGTCCTTTCACATTTCTAATGCTCAAAACTTCAGCTTTGAAACTCTTCACGGGGGGGTCAGTTTGCATTGTCAACTCCGTTGATACAACCAAAGTCACCTTGTAGCACTGCATCCTATGTAGTGAGAGTGTAAAATACTCCAACTTGCCGGATGCTGTGGAAACCAGTGTTTCATCTTCACCCATACAAACTTTATCATCGTGCAGGTTAATAGTTTTAGCCTTGACAACTATTTATTAAATGATGGATTACTGGGATAAACACCCTTTGGAGTTATCACTTACCTCAAACTGAGAATACTAAATTTTAAAAGACAATTCTTGTACTGCTTCCATACTCTCGTGCACCACAGATTAAAAGCTATGAATTCCTAAAAATTTCAAGGAAAACATACTCACATGTGATTTGTCCTGAGGTCTTGAAAATCAGACAAGCAGTTTTTGCTGGTCCAGATACAGATGCCGAATAATTGCAAGTGACATTTACACGAACAATTCTTCCCAAGTGGTTCTTCTCTGTGGTATCTGCCCACTAATTAAAGGCAAGCAAAACGAATTTGATGTAAATTTAAAGAGCCCTATGCTCAGTAACAGTTAGGGGTGGGTTAAGCCCAAAACTGAAAGTACTGGAATCATTTTAAGAAACATTTTTAGACACATTTAACCTTACCTATATTAAATTGCCTGTTTAGGTTTAGTGTTTTTTTGTCTTTGTGTTGTATCAGGCATCCATTTAAACTAGCTCTGCTAAATTTGATCAGAGTTAGTAGAGTTCCCTCTATTAATTCTGATTTGATGCCCCTGGATAAATATGGGTATTTAAAAAATCTTACCCTGCAATTTAAGACTATTTAAAACAGGCATCTTTCTAATTTTTCAGATGTCCATGTACTTACTTTCCATACTCTTTCCACAATTAGTCCACAAATCACTACACTTCTTAAACCCTCGTATGATACTTTTAAAAAAACTGAGTATTTCAAAAAGGTGGCCCAGCTGCCAACAACCCCATTGATTGCAGAAACAGGTGCAGAAACACCTGTGGTCCACCTCACAGATTACAGCCCTGAGTTCTCCTGCCCACTCCATGACCCACTGCCCAAGCCCCTGCAACCTGAGCCTAAGGCCCATTTTAAGCCTGTTTGGTAAGGGGACCTTATATGCCCATACCAAGATCATGAGCTTTGTGAGATCTGGATTACGATTCATGACAGACTATGATAAACCTCTGCCCCACCCCTTTTTAGAACATCTCTTTCATTTGCAATGTTTGCAACACTTAACTTGCTGTGAAATTAAAGATGCAGACTGCTGGGTGGTGAGATTTAGGTTGGAGGCTGTGAATCACAGGCAATTGGCAGCTGGCATGCATGCTATTAACAAATCTATCAATTTACAAACTCCAGATACAGAACCTTGAAAACTTGATTGCTTTGTTTTTTTTCCACACTGAAGATGTCTGCGTTTATCCCCACCCATTTGTTTTCCAGTTGATAATCGTAGTATGCTGCACCTCCAGGAACAACTTGACAGCTTTGATAGCTATCATCTGAAACAATATTCACTTCTCCTTTATTTGCCAGGTTGAGGGATTGCAGGAAAAAGTCCCACTCAAAGAAACGAGAGCAAACTGAAAAAAAAAATTCAAATTTGAGCACATCAGCCATTTATGTTAAGGAATAAAAAGTTATAGCCTTATAGTCACCATTAACTTGGATTACAGAGTTTTAATAAGGCATCTCATGTGCTCTGAATGCCCCAAATCAGCCCTGCCAAGGGTCACCCTCCAAAGGACTTTAGACTGTGGACAAAAGAGAGCCCTTCTCCCCCTTCCCCAAGGAAACTTGGAGGAGAACCATAGAGAGAGAAAGGAGTGACAGAGGTTCAACTGACAAGCCATGGACAGAAATCGATGGTTTTCTCTGGCCAAGGCTTGACTTGCATGGACCCACAAAGAAGACCAACTAACTAATATGGGGTTTGGTGAAAGCAGTTGTAAGTCGAACTATCCAATTCTGAATGTTTCCACTATATCTCATTGTAATTATATCTTTAGGTACGTCATCTCCAAGAAAAGCCAAAGTACTTTGGAACTCTAGTTTCTGGATGTTAGTATCTAAGTTAGTTTGTAAAGTTCGCGAAGGGTTTTTGCAAAAGACTCAGAGAATTTCGAAGCGACGTGGAGCGACCTAGGTAGAGAGGCTGATTTACGACGCTGTGGAACTCTGAAGAAAAAAGGAATTAAACGTGGAGTTTACAATGAGCTTATGTTAATTTGGAGAGTTAGTTATAAACTATTGAATGCGTTTCATTACAGAACTTGAATACTGGTGTACAACAACATACAAATAAAAAAGCTGTAGTCTGAAATTATGTACTGTATGTAAAGGATCCATGTTAGATGCATTTATAGCATAACAGTTGGAGTGTGAGCAATTTGTACCTCCTAACTATTTTCACTGACATATTCTATGACTTATACAGTAACAATTACAGCAGGCAGCTATTGAAATCACTCACCACTATTATCAGTACATCCATATAGTTCAACACTGAGACACTTGTACCCTGGTTCATTATGCTCTTTAGGATATATTCTGAGGACTCTTGTTTCAAAAGTTCCTTTGAAATAATTGTATTTTATGGTGTCTGTGTCTTTATTTCCTGTAAATTGCTGAAAGTGGACATTGAGTGAAACATTTATTTATAACAAATAAAAAGGAATTGAAAATGCAGAATGTCTTAATGGCCAGTGATACCTAATTTTTTTCCTATTAATACTTGTTTGACTGCTTTGGTTTGCAAACATAGTATATAACATAATATCTTTGTATTTGCAATTGTCCAAATGCTGTTTAAAACTGATGAAGTTTGTAAGGCATCCAAAGCAGAATCAATTTTAATTAATTAACATTTTGTTTAGTAGCAAAGCAGATGTCTGACCTAATTGTACACTTGAAAGAACGAATATTTATATCCATCATAATTTAATGTTCAGTACCTTTTTTTTACCATTTTCATCTTTGTAATCAAACCATGTTACATCATCATAGCTGTACTTTATCTCAAACATCTTAACAAAGTTAGCAAAATTTCCTAGGTATCCTTGAGTAGCAAAGGCTGAGACATGCCTGACCTCCAGCAAGTCAATCTCAAACAAATTCCCATTTTTTCCGGTTCACCAGGCTTTCTTATTATTCAGTCTCCCTTCTGAAGAATGAAATCCCGTGATACTAGTTTTGGACCTGATTTGGGAATCACTTATTTTCCCACTTTCCAAACCAAGTGCTTTTGAGCAATCTACAAAGTAACCAGAGGTTACAAATAAATTTAATTAAATAGCTGATGTTAAAAAACTTGGCCATCACTTTCAACAGAAGAAAGAATCTTTTATGTCAAAGCACGCAACTTAATAACAAACAAGGCAGGCAACAAGACTGGTTAATTCCCTAAATCGTTAATAATAAGTTTAGAAGGCATCTCTTATAATTAAAAATTATAAAAATCATACAAGAGATAAGAGCTATAGAGTCTCACATATTAAGTGCTCGACTCGAGCTGACAATTCAATCTAATACTCTCACATTGATGTATTTATGGTTTCTGATTATGTTGTGGCTAAATGACCGGCAGCCGGTCAAGGTTTTTAAATCATTATTTTTTTGAATAATGGCGGAATATCTGATATTTTGCTCAAATTTAAGGAATTGAAGAAACCTCTCCAATTCAAACTGTCATGTATCGATTTAGAACTGCCAAGCAATTCAGGAAAGCTTTAAAGATCGCAAGTCTATCGCTTGGTTTACGCTCGGCTCAGAGAGCGAAACCATGATTTGTGACACTTAGATCATGTTTTTTTTTTCAGGTACACTGCCGGTCACAGTTTTCAAATCACTAAATGACTGGCAGTCTGATATATTGTTCAAATTTGAGGAATCGAAGAAATCCATCCAAATCAAACTATCATATGTCGATTAAGAACTGCCAAACAAAGTATTCAGGCTAAAAATGCTTGCTGCATAAAAATGATGTTGTTTAAAGGAGTATTCTCTCGTCGGATTTTTACCAGCCACTTCTGGAGATGATCTTTGTTTGATAGTGAAAACTTCAGCTCATACAACCAAAGGCTATACAATATCTAACCCTCATGTTTTACCTAAACTTTCACAACGTCTTAACTTTTTTGAAATCTAACGAATCGAACCGGTCATATCCAAACTATGATTTGTCGAATAAGAAGTACAAAGCCATCCTGCAGATTTTTATAGACCATAAGTTCAGTTAACTCTTGTGTCACAAGATGATTTACAGTTAATTACATGAAAAATATGAAATGATTGTAAATGAGACTTAAAGGCAACTAGAGCCAGAAAAACTTCTAGAAACTTCTATCATCGTCAAATATGAAACCGTTTCCAAAAAAATGAAGTAGTACTAATTGAATATATATCTTAAGTATTTCTTACAATGAAAGCAATATATCTGTAGCTACTATACTCCACTGAGGCATGGGCAGCGCCCATTTGTGCACTGCCTATGGAAAATGCAGCGTATAGAAAATCCCATATGTTATTACTTTGATTAGTAAACAGGTAATCTTAGAAGTAGAGGTAAACTGAAAATAATCTCGTGTAAGTTGTTATGATTATTTAATTCTGCAAGATTTGCAGAACCAGTTTCTGTTCTTTGGTGGACTTTTTAATGAAGTGCATGCAAAGTGAGTCCAAAGGAGACACAAGCAATGCTGTCGTCACTTTCGTCGTTTATCTTTTTTGCGCAAACAGAACAAACAAAGTCTACGCGGATCTTCTACTTTGTTGATTTAAGAACCGACAACCACGCATCTTTTTCAAAGTAATTTTCAACGCGGAGAAAGTCCACGGTTTCTTCAATTCCTTAAATTTGGGCAAAATATCAGACTGGCGGTTATTTAGTGATTTGAAAACCGTGACCGGCAGTCGACTTAAAAAAAAAAACGTGACCTGAGTGTCACAAACCAGGGTTTCGCTCTCTCAGCCGAGCGTAAACAAAGCGTTAGACTTGCGATCTATAAAGCTTTCCTGGATCGCTTGGCAGTTGTTAATCGAGATATGATAGTTTTGAACCGGATGGGTTTCTTTGATTCCTTAAATTTGAGCAAAATACCAGACTGCCGGTTATTTAGGGATTTTAAAACCTTGACCGGCTGCCGGTCATTTAGCCACAGCGTTCTGATTATGCTGTTGATTTGACTTAAAACTTTTGACGATAAAAATGAACGGTAAAACACGACGTTTCGACCGTGCTTCGGTCATTGTCAAGTGAATGGAATGAAATACATTAAATATATGTATATATACACGTACGAAATATAAATAAATTTTTTGCAGGTGTAAACAAACAATAAAACTACAAAGAAAGTGCTAGTAAAAAGCTAATTAAAAACCTTAGCACGAATTGAATCAGACTGTACATTGAGAGCAGGTCTTAGCTTGTGAATAAAAAACATCTCATAGACGAGACAGTCAAATTTGTTCGTGCACTTCATTAAGGTGCTAAAGTTCTTTGTAAGATCCTTTGGAGTCAAAGAATGTTTGTCGCGAAAATGTTTGCCAATTGACGAAGAGGAGTTTTTATGTTCTTCAATACGTTGGTGTAGATGACGGCGTGTGAAACCAACATAACCTGCATCGCACAGGTCACATTGAAATTTGTAAACAAGGCACTGTTGGTTCACAATCGGCGGCTTAGCTTCTCGCAATTTGAGGTCTCGACCAATCAGGCATCCGCTGATATTGTTCGTGCCCAACTTAAAGATCTAAGTCATAGGATCCAGACGACCTTACAACCTGTATTTGTTAGCCAGAAGATTGGTCGAGACCTCAAATTGCGAGAAGCTAAGCCGCCGATTGTGAACCAACAGTGCTTTGTTTACAAATTTCAATGTGACCTGTGCGATGCAGGTTATGTTGGTTTCACACGCCGTCATCTACACCAACGTATTGAAGAACATAAAAACTCCTCTTCGTCAATTGGCAAACATTTTCGCGACAAACATTCTTTGACTCCAAAGGATCTTACAAAGAACTTTAGCACCTTAATGAAGTGCACGAACAAATTTGACTGTCTCGTCTATGAGATGTTTTTTATTCACAAGCTAAGACCTGCTCTCAATGTACAGTCTGATTCAATTCGTGTTAAGGTTTTTAATTAGCTTTTTACTAGCACTTATTATTTGTTTACACCAGCAAATTTTTTTTTTATATTTCGTACGTGTATATATACATATATTTACTGTATTTCATTCCATTCACTTGACAATGACCGAAGCACGGTCGAAACGTCGTGTTTTACCGTTCATTTTTATCGTCAAAAGTTTTAAGAAACCCTTGCTTATAAGGATTTGACTTAAGAATCATAAAAAACCTTTATACAGTAATCAGTAGAAACACCACAGCGCTTAGGGTTAGGGTTAGGGTTAGATCTGTCAAATGATGTGAGTCATTTAACATGGAGGCAAAAGAGTCATTTAACATGGAGGCAAAACAGTATTTCAAAAAACCTGTGAGTTTTTGGCAGAACTTATTACACAGTCACTTGATGTATTTGCAGATCTTACCCTACTTCTGGGCTAGGGAATGGAGTTTAAGTTTCAAAGCCTGCATTTTTCCCAGGTACGATATTGTAAAATTTTTCGACTAAACAAAATGATTAGAGAACGTGTATGGTATCCTTGATTGTAAGTCTCTTTTTTTCTGTTTGTTTGTTTGTTTTTTTGTTGTTGTTGTTGTTGTTGTTGTTTGACTGATCATGCGATCATTTTATAAATACAAGGAAATTCAAATAAGTAGTAACCCCCTGACCGTAATAATGATAATATCACTTCATATTCTTGTTTAACGCCTTCAATATCAATTCATTTACTTACTTCCAAAGAGAGACTTTTTTATACTTGTTGTATCACCACAACTTCCCAACTCTGGGAGGAAGGTTTGAGTTTCACGTTTACACGAACAGCTACACGGTGTGGTTATGTTCACCAAAGCCGAGACGTTCGCACAAACATTTGAAGGGCATTCGAAGCCAGTTTTGTACACCACCTTGAACACGTCAGTATCATATCTACTTCTTCTCGTAATAACGTACTTCTCAATGCCTTCTACATTTAAAGTAGCAAGCAAGGAAGTAGGTTGAAGTGTAGTTACATACAACACCAAAATCACGATTCTTGTTAAACAGCAAGTTGCCAGCTTCGCCGATCGCATGTTCCTTAATTAGTTTCCGCAAACAAGCCAGAACTGTCTCCGTTTACACTTTGCGATTGGCCTTTCGCTTTTTATCTCTGAAGGATCCGGCAGGAACCGAAAGAATTACTTTTAACGGCGGGTTTGCTTGATTATACTCCGAAACATAATCTTTTTGCAATTCCAGTAAGCCTGAGAGTGAACGAGTGCCGAACTTTTATCCACTTAAGAGACTGAAATATTTGATACTGGAATCGTAGGTCAGCTACGTCAAGCTACATGCGTCGGTGACGTCAAAAAGTAAATACCGGGTTTTTCAGCACGGAAAAAGGCATAATATCCGTAATCACCTTTTGGTTTATTTATTTTTATCGTCCTTGAGAAATGATTCTCACAAACTGTCATACTCAGCTAACAGGGAAAGAGGGAAGAAATAGGAAACGAGATCGATATGAGCGCAAGATGCCGACTGCATATGCTTACTTTTGAGGAATTGAGAAATACCAAGTGGAGTTTCAGAATTTTTAGCCTGCAAGTGGGTTTCTTCGCCTTCAAATCACGATCTACGGTTCTTTAACCTGTCAGTATCAAAACTGTGGGTTTGACTGTTCCACTATATAAAGATTAGACAAGAAATCGAAAGAACAACAATGGCTAGAGAGGCCAAAAGCAAATAGTAGCTTCTTATATAAATATAAAATCGCTCAGTGACGTGAATACTGTAGCATCCTGACTGTAATAAACTAAAGGGACGATGATATAATTTGTGGACTGACTTAGAGTTAAAAATCATCATCTTTTTATCTTAATGGTAGTAAATGGGAAGGAAAGTCATCTATGCGTGAAAACCGTGCATGATCGCGTCACGGACCATTAACGGAACCACTTCAGCGGTGCTCATCATGGTTTGGATATTTAACAAATGTTTTGTTAACTCCTGATACAAAGTTTACTCATGATGACTGTGAACATTACGGAGATGCCAGTGAAACCAAAAATGATACAAACGTGCGTTAAAGTGCC